GTTATTAGTATTCGGACAGGATATCCCTTATGTTAGATTTGTCATTTAGTTTCAGACTTGCATCGGATTCTAGAAGCTCTTGTACTTAAGACACCAATTCTTGGGGTGATATATTTTTAGCTTCCGCATTTCGTACTTATAAGGAACTCAATGTTGGAGATTCTTGCAAAGTGTTAGTCTTTTTTTTACTCATTTGTTGGTTTAGTTGGGTTAATATGTTGGGTTGTCTTACCTATTGGTTGGGAACCATCACGACTAGCAAATTTGGGTCGTGACAAATTTGGTATCATAGCCCTAGGATCATCGCTCTAAAAAGTACAATAGCAATATCTAGTAGAGTCTTGTGGATCGGTATGAAGACGTCCATACCTATCTTCGAGAGGTTATAGGACATTTAGGAAATATTCTGTTCTTTTATTCATTATCGTGCACACTTGACCTTGTAAAATTCTAATCTTGTGATCTCATTCTCTTTCAAATGGCGAGGAATCGTATATAGGCAAGTGGTGGTCAGGATCCTATTCATGCGCCTGCTTCTGGGAATACTATCCGAGGTAGAGGTAGGGGACGAGCTCGAGGTCGTGGTAGGGTCCGTATTGCAGCACCTGTGGAAGGTCAAGTACCAATAGCTACCCAGGGTCGTGATAGGACCGTACCTCCTGATGCGGAGGTTATTCATGGGGATGTGCAAGATCGTGTCTATGGGGATGGGCCAGCTCAGGCTCCACCCAGTACTATTGTCACCCAGTGCTTCAAGTTACCTTGCTCTTATGTTAGGAATCCTAGAAGGGATGGCTCAGGCAGGAGCTTTGCCTGTCACTTCTGATGGCTCACAGACCCGTGTTGGAGGTCAAAATCCAGATCCGATAGTTGCTCCTGATTCTCATACTCACAGGACTTAGCCAGCTGCAATCGTAGCTCCTCGATTGGATAGTATGGAGTTTCTAGATATGACATCACATTTGGTGAACAGGCCTTCTATGACTATTGATGAGCAAAAGATGTTTGGGAGGTTCAGACTAATGAATCCTCCTTCTTATACTGGTGACTTAGCTGAGGATGCATACGAATTTATAGTTCGTTGTCATGAGAGGTTGCATAATCTTAGATTAGTGGAATCTCATGGAGTTGACTACATAGCGTTTCAGATGACTGGATCTGCTAATCAGTGGTGGAGGGATTATATTAGTAGTAGGCCAGCTGGATCCCATCCACTATCCTGGACTTAGTTTACTCAGGTATTTCTATCCAAATTTATTCCACGTAGTGAGAGGGAGCGCAAGAGGGCCGAGTTTGAGAGTTTGCACCAACGCGGTATGTCAGTTGCAGAGTATGAGGGTAAATTTCATGCCTTGGCTAGGCATGCTTGGATGATACTTCCCACAGAGGCTGAGAGAGTGAGAAGGTTTGTTAAGGGTCTGATTATTCCGATCCGTCTAGGAGTTTCTCAGGTTGCTTCTTCTGGTGTTCCATTCAAGAAAGTGGTAGATGCTGCTAAGGAGTTGGAGATGATTCGGCGTGAGGGATTTGAGCAGCGAGAGGGGAAGAGGACTCGTTATTCAGGTGATTATGGTGGTGCTCCACCTAGGAGTCGGGGTTACTTGGGCAGAGGTTATCACCCTCAGTCCAGCAGACCCATTCATGCTACTATACCAGTGTCTGAGGCTGGTTACGCTGGGCATAACTCTTCGAGCTCAGTGCATACTTCGCAGAGTTCATCTTCTAGACCTATAGTTCGTGGAGGGCATTCTGGCCATTCAGGTTCCTCTCATCAGCCTGCGTCTCGTAGGGGCTGTTTTGAGTATGGTGATATGGGAAACTTTGTGAGAGACTGCCCTAGGACCAGACGTGGTGGCTTACATCAGGGTTCTCAGGCTTCGACTTTCAGGGCTGCACAACCTCCCTCTAGGGGGGGTGCACAGAGAGGTTGAGGCGGTTCTTACCCAGGTAGACGTGGTACTTCTTCTGGTCGAGGTGGTGGTCGTGGAGATTCACCATTTGAGGGAGGTCGTTCTCACTGTTATGCTTTTCCGGGTAGGCCACAGGCTGAGGCTTCAGATGCTGTTATCACAGGTATTGTTTCGGTTTTCCATCGACCAACTACTGTATTATTTGATCCAGGCTCTACTTATTCTTATGTGTCCACATATTTTGCTCCTATTCTGGATATATTATGTGAGTCCCTTGATTTACCGATACGTGTTTCTACTCCTGTCGGGAATTCTGTAGTTGTCAATCGGGTGTATCGACTATGTATTGTTACCTTGATGGGGTATGACACTCATGACAATTAATTTAGCTATGCCTGGATTTCCTATAGTATAATGGAGAGGTTCTCTTAGTCACCCTTCTAAGGATGTGATATCATTTCTTAAGGCTCGTCAATTGGTACAGAGAGGATGTTTAGCTTACTAGGCACACATTCGTGATACTAGTGTTGAGACTCCTATTCTTGAGTCTATTCCAGTGGTGAGTGAATTTTCAAAGGTATTACCAACCGATTTGCCAGGTCTTCCACCAGATCGTGATATTGATTTTTTTATTGATGTGGAGCCAGGCACTCTGCCTATTTCCATTCCTCCTTATCGTATGGCACCGGCTGAATTGAAAGAGTTGAAGGAGCAGTTGCAGGATTTGTTGAGCAAAGGTTTTATTAGACCAAGTGTATCTCCTTGGGGTGCTCCAGTGTTATTTGTGAAGAAGAAAGATAGATCTATGCGTATGTGTATTGACAATCGGAAGTTGAACAAGGTAACCATCAGAAACAAGTATCCGATACCTCGTATTGATGATTTATTTGATCAGTTACAGGGTGCTTCAGTTTTCTCCAAAATTGACTTGAGATCTGGCTATCATTAGTTGAAGGTTAGGGCGGAGGATATCCCTAAGACGGTTTTTCGAACACGTTATGGTCATTACGAGTTTTTGGTGATGTCTGTTGGATTGACTAATGCCCCATCAACTTTTATGGACTTGATGAATGGAGTGTTCAGGTCGTATTTAAATTCCTTTGTCACTGTCTTCATAGATGATATATAAATATACTCACGCACTAAGGAGGAACATGAGCATCATTTGAGGATTGTTCTTGGGATTCTAAAGGAGAACAAGCTTTATGCAAATTTTTCAAAGTGTGAGTTTTGGCTTAGTTCGGTAGCATTTTTGGGACATGTAGTGTCCAAAGAGGGTATCATGGTGGATCCTAAGAAGATTGAGGCGGTTAGAGATTGGGTCAGACCTACTTCAGTTACTGAGATTCGGAGTTTCTTAGGCCTTGCAGGTTATTATTGACGGTTTGTTGAGGGTTTCTCATCCATTGCATCTCCATTAACTAGATTGACACAGAAGGAGGTGACTTTTAAGTGGTCTAACGAATGTGAGATTAGTTTCAAAAAGCTCAAGACTTTATTGATTACTGCTCTGATTTTGACCCTAACCGTGGAGGGAGAGGGTTTTGTTGTATATTGTGATGCTTCTCGGATTTGTCTTGGTTTTGTGTTGTTGCATAAGGGAAGGGTGATAGCTTATGCTTCGAGGAAATTAAAGGTTCATGAGAAGAACTACCCTATTCATGATTTAGAGTTGGCGGCTGTTGTGTTTGCATTAAAGATTTGGAAGCATTCTCTTTATGGTGTGCATTGTGAGGTGTTCACGGATCATCGTAGTCTCCAGTATATATTCAATCAGAGGGATCTCAATTTTAGGTAGAGGACATGGCTGGAGTTGCTCAAAGACTACGATATGACTATTCTTTATCATCCAGGCAAGGCAAATGTTGTAGCAGATGCCTTGAGTCGGAAGGCAGTAAGTATGGGTAGTCTAGCCATGTTACATGTTGGCGAGCGTCCTTTAGCTCGGGATGTCCAATCCTTGGCCAATAGCTTTGTGAGACTTGATATTTCAGAATCTGGTCAGGTTTAGGCGTATATGAAGGCTAGGTCATCCTTGTTGGAGCAAATTCAGGCTCAACAGTTTGATGATGGTGATTTGTGTAAGATTAGGGACAAGGTGTTAAAAAGATAAGTCAAGGCTGCAATTCTTGATAGTGAGGGAGTTTTGAGGATTAAGGGTCGCATATGTGTTCCTCGTACAGGTGATTTGACTAGATTGATCATGGAGGAGGCTCATAGTTCGAGGTACTCTATTCATTCAGGGGCTACGAAGATGTATCGTGACTTGAAGCAAAATTATTGGTGGTGTTGTATGAAGAGGGACATAGTAGATTTTGTATCCCAGTGTCTGAATTGTCAGCAAGTGAAGTATGAACACCAAAAGCCTGGAGGTGTGACACAGATGATGCCTATACCTGAGTGGAAGTGGGAGCGTATTGCTATGGACTTAGTGGTAGGATTACCACCTACTTTGGGTAAGTTTGATGCTATATGGGTCATTGTGGATCGACTGACTAAGTCTGCACACTTTGTACCAGTTTAGACTACCTATAATTCAGAGAAGTTAGCCAAAATCTATATTCGAGAGATAGTTCGTTTGCATAGGGTTCGTATTTCTATTATTTCAGATCGTTGCACTCAATTTACATCTCATTTCTGGCGGTCTATGCAGAAGGAGTTGAGCACTCGGGTGGATCTTAGTACAACCTTTCATCCTCAGACTGATGGTCAGTCTGAGAGGACTATTCAGGTTCTTGAGGACAAATTTTGCGGGCGTGTGTGATTGACTTTGGTGGTCACTGGGATCAGTTCTTGCCATTAGCGGAGTTTGCTTACAATAATATTTATCATTTGAGCATTGAGATGGCACTATTTGAGGCTTTGTATGGTAGGAGATGTCGATCTCCAATGGGTTGGTTTGATGCATTTGAGGTTAGACTGTGGAGTACAGATTTGTTGAGGGAGTACTTGGACAAGGTCAAGTTGATCCAAGATAGACTTCTCATAGCTCAGAGCAGGCAAAAAAGTTGTGCAGATAGGAAGGTTCGTGATTTGGAGTTTATGGTTGGAGAGAGGGTTCTACTTAAGGTTTCACCCATGAAGGGTGTGATGAGATTTGGAAAGAAGGGAAAGTTGAGTCCAATGTACATTGGTCCTTTCGAGATTGTGGAGCGTATTGGTGAGGTTGCATATAAGTTGGCTTTGCCACCTGGGTTGTCAGGTGTCCATCCTGTATTTCATATTTCAATGTTGAAGAAGTATCATCATGGTGGTGCTCATGTGATTCAATGGGATTCAGTGTTACTTGATCAGAATTTAACTTTTGAGGAAGAGTCGATAACCATTTTGGATAGGCAAATTCGGAAGCAAAGGTCCAAGGATAATGCTTCAGTAAAGGTTCAGTGGAAACATCGTCCAGTAGAGGAGGCTACATGGGAGACAGAGTCAGATATGAGGAGTAAGTATCCTCATCTTTTTTAGCGTTCAGGTTAGCTCTTTTCTTGTCCTGTTCGAGGACGAACTTTGTTTAAGTAGTAGGTGATGTAATGACCCGCTAGGTCGTTTTGAGAACTAGGACTATTTTGGCTCTTTGCGAAAATTTTAAAAGGTTTATTTTAACTATTCGGTAACTGCAATTACCTAGTTGAGGAAACTTTTATTAAATAAGTAATATAAATAATAGGTTAGTGGGGTTTCACGGTTAATAAACTCTTATTTACAAAATAAAAAAAAGTAGATGCGGAAACTTACCATAAGCGACGAACGAGAGGAGAAACAATAACCACTGCTAGCGAAAACAAAGAACTTCTCATTCCTTTTCAATTCTACAAAAGGTATGTTGTCAGAGTAATTTTGTTTGTTGTTATTATTATATTATTACATGGATAATGAATATCAAAGTGGGGAAAACAATTGGTATCTATTATGTTTAAAGAACGGCAGTTGCTTTCTAAAAAAATTGAAATAGACAATGGGTAAGGGCAAAAGATGGGGGTCTCGTACCAATGGTGTGACGAGCATTGGTACGAGTACTGGTGTTATAAAAGGGAAAGTTACTACTATAGAATGTAGATTGTAATTTGAAAATGCCAAAGCATATGGGCATTAGCTGATATATTATTGACTTGAAATTTTTGTGTGATTGTGTTTTCTTTAGTACACCCTTATTATTGTGATAATTGAGGTGATTATTTATTATGTTGATATTGATTGAGTGAGATGCATCATTATCCCCTTATAGTGAAATAATATTGTATACATGCATTGACATGAGATTGAGCATAAGTTGGGCACGTGGAGATCGCCCGTGCTAGGGATGATGAGATGTTAAGATTGTAATTTGGGCACGTGGAGACCGTCCGTACGAAAATTGTTGATATTATGATAGTGCGTTGAGATCGTCCGCACAGACACGTGGAGATCGTCCGTGTCAGTATATGGACCTCGCGAGTCCCCCACTGGGTCATGAACTCTCGATGTATTTCCTAGGAGTACCATGTATATACGGTTGAGTCAGTACTGGGTATTCTGAGACATATCATTGCATGGTACCATATTGCATTGCATTTCATCACATTATTCATTCTTGATGATTATATGTTTCATTTGGTGTTTTGAAAATACTTAATGTTGATTTCCTTTATTGATGAAACTTAAATAGTAAGTGTAATATATATATATATATATATATATACACTTGTTTAATTCAAGAATTTATTTTCTTATATAAACTCCAGTCACTACTTCTTCGTTGTCGGTCAATTAGTCATACTGGGTACACGTGGTTTCGTACTCATACTACACTTGTTGCACTCTTTGTGGTGCAGATTCGATTCCGAGTAGGAGCACATCTCGTGGAGCAAATTGAGTCTGAGCTTGAAGTTCTTGGAGTTGTGGTGAGCTGCTTGGCTGTTCCGTGGCCCACACCTCCCTCTATCTTTTATTTATTCTGTTATTTGTATTCGGACAGGATATCCCTTAGTTTCAGACTTGCATCGAATTCTAGAAGCTCTTGTACTTAAGACAGCAATTCTTGGGGTGATATATTTTTAGCTTCCGCATTTCGTACTTATAAGGAACTCAATGTTGGAGATTCTTGCTAAGTGTTGGTCTTTTTTTACTCATTTGTTGGTTTAGTTGGGTTAATATGTTGGGTTGGCTTACCTATTGGTTGGGAACATAGGTGCCATCACGACTTACAAATTTGGGTCATGACAAACATGGAGCATGTTGCGCAGCCTATTTCCAAAATTGAAAATTTTGCTCCGTGTCGCAAAGTTGACACGAGGTGTTCTGCCTCAAAAAGATGTTTTCAGAACCAAAATTTAATTATGCCTCCGCGTCGCTGATTCACCTCCAAATCTTGATTTTTGGTCTTTTCTCATATTTAGCTATCTAAAATTATTGCTAAACAACATGAGATCTTTCCAAACACAAATCTTAATCCTTGAATCCACAATTTAATTTAAGGGTTAGTTAAGACTCAAGTCAAGATCATTTGAGAGTCAAGTCAAGAGCAGTTAAGATCAAAGTCAAGAGAAGTTTAGAGTCAGGTAAGAGATGTTCATTTCAAGTTTTCGTAAGTCCTTTACAAACATTTTAACTTTGTTTTAAAAATTAAGTTTTGAGTTCAGTACAGAGTAAAGTTGAAGTTTCGTCTTCAAAGAAGTATATGGGCACTAAGTATTTTCAAAGAAGTATAAAAATGTTTTCACATTTAAATAAGGACGAAAATTGAGATTTTCAAGGAGGCTTCAAGCTATTTTTTCATAACAGAGTAATAGATTTCTAAATGAAGCAGACAGGGAAACTGAGATTTTCAAGATAGCCTTTGAGATAAGTTTTGAGCACTATTCTCAAATCACGGAAGAAAAATGTGTTTTAAAAACATAAAATCCAATAAAATTTTGGGAGTATTATTGAGCACCGAGTTAGGATCGAGCATGAGTTCAGATAACTCATATCTGCATATATAATTTAGCCACCATAAGTAGAAAAGGGTCATACGTTTTAGATGAATCCTTTTCATAGTAGACTAGTGGATCCATTTGACAGTTTAGGACCTATACATGTGGCAGGGTATAAGATGCGCTGGCAACGTGAGGTTGATTGTTGTATCATCACTAAAATTTTTATGTGATGGTAGTGAGTTAGAGAAACTCCCATAGAAGTTATTGTATTTTTATATACATTAGTTTATTGCACTTTTATATACATTTCATAGTTATGTTATATCGTTATCTATACCAAGAGTTGACATCATGTTTTAAACAAATTTTCTTTATATTGCACTTGCTTTTAAATTGTTTTATATTGAAATAAGTTCATTTATTAATTAATTAAGTTGAGTCAGGTAAGTTCTTCGGATTTCTTTTCAAGCCTATGTTGTATTAGAATTCCAACTCACATACTCGTATATTCAATGTACTGATATCAGTTAGCCTGCATCATATTATACTGCAGATGCAAGTAACGAGGATCGGCATCCAGTGCAATGTTGATCCAGTTGAGCACTTAGAATCAGTTGGTGAGCCTTCTTGAATTCTGGAGGACTACTTTATTGCTTTTCAGTTAGTTTGTTAGGATGATGTGTTGTTGTCCCAACATCCATCTCAGTCATTTCAGAGGCTTCATAGACAATTAGTAGTTCAGTAGTCTTTGCATTATCATCCAAGTTGAATGTTTAATCTTTAAAACATTCCCACTTATTTTATTTTTCAGTTCAAATGAGTTCATTGATCATAATAAATGTGATTGTTGTCTTCCATTGAGTTATATAAGTCAGGGCATAGGTTTGCTTAGGGCTAGCAATGTCTTCGAGTGTCATCCACGTCCAAGGTGTAGGCTCAAGGCATGACAATATAAAAGAGACATCGGAACGAGGATAAGTACAACTTGAACTCCAACCTTGAATTTTTTTTTGCAGTAAAATCTTCAAAAATATTTGTACACAAATTTTGAACGAGTAGAGAAGAAGTGTTCTTGATAAATATCAATACACCAAAAAAATTAATATAAAAAATACTTGTATAGATTAAAAAAACTTACCATATCAAAGAGGAAAAAATTGATATTTGATTTAGAAAGGAGATGACAAAAATTTGTAGCAAGTGCTAAGAGAAAGAAAAGTGAAGAGTAATTATTTGAAAGTGTATTAAATAAAGTCTGAACAATATTAAGAGTCTCCTACATATTTGGTTCATTAGATCTTTTCATATGCGTTAAGATCAGGCTTTTAAAAATTAATAACAAATGGACTTAATGGGTAAAATCTATATAATTAAGATTCAGACCTTAAAAATTGTATAGATTTAATAGACTGAATCTAAATGATTAAGATTCGATCTTGTATTAAGTGCAATAAATGAGACCGATTGTTAATACACATCTTAATTCAGATTCAAACATTTTAATCTTAAAGAAAATAAATAAGGCATATATCTTTTATAAATAAAATAAAACCATTCCTTTATAGCATAATTTCTTATCGATCTATTTGTTGGTTACTCGTACAAGGAAAGTAGAGATGAGCCATGTCCTAGACTTATGAATATAAATCACATATGCTATACACGTCTAATATTGTATGTCATTCCTTTAAATATTTAAATCTATAATACTGTTTACAACAATCTCCTCACATGGTTATGAAGAAAATCTTTCCTCGACATTTTATATATTAGAAGAAACATTTTATGTACACATAATTTTTCATAAAAGGTGTCGTTCTTTTAAAATGATAAATAATAAATAAATAAATCACATATCTTAAATTACAGTTAAACAATTCACTTATTGTATTATACCTTTTCTAAAATATAAAATTTAAAATTAAGATACGTAGAAGGGAAAAAAATTATGAAAATGTAATGTATCAAAATGGAGTTGTGTAGGCTTCAACATGCAACCTAACCTATGAATTTTCATCCCCCTAGGGATGTCAATGAGACGAGGCGGGGAAGGATGTGGTGCCAGTTAAAGTGGACTTTTTAAAAATTACTGTGGAGCAAAGTGTGTTGCAGGTTGATGTGATTTTATGTGGTTTTAAACTTAATTCTAACTTTTTACATGTTAAAAGATTGATAAATCATTATCTATTAAGATAGTTTCAGTTATGTTATTAAAATATTCAAGATAGTAAATGAAAACGGATAAATTAAAACTAATATAGTTACTTACATGTTTCTCAATTGATCTCTATAATATAAATTTTTAAGTCATTATCTATTAAACAAATACAACTAATGAAAAAATAAATTTATTTTTATCAAACTTAATTTTAAAAGGAAAATATTAAAATTAAATATTATAGGGGATGGGTTCATGCAGCGCGGAGTGGGACGGATTGACGATAAAAAAATGGTTATGCAATGCGATGTTATAAATTTTACGAATTAAGCTCAACACCACCTGACCCGCCCCACTCCATTGCCATCTCTACAATCCCCAACTAATTCGGCTACACTCACTTTTTATCCAAG